TTAACCACTAATTTTTGGATCTATCAGATGAAATCAATTGAGAAGGAGAGAGGTCTTACGCTCTTCGATATCGGAGTAATCTTCGGGGTCGGACTGATAATCTGCTCTCATGCGGAAATCTTTGGGTTTGGAGAGTGCTTCGACCTTGGAGCGATCTTTGATCATAGAGAGATCCTCTTCTTCGATCATGAAAGAACCTTCGGCGTCGGCGAAATCTGCGTTCATGGTTTCTCGAGAGAGCGCTTTTGTGGGGGAATTAGGGTTTCTCGAGAGAGCTTCTGTGGCAAGTTAGGTTTACCTTGGATCGCTCGATAATGATGATTTTATTAGCCCTTGGATCGAAGTTAGGTTTTCGACCGTCGGATCTGTACTTTTTTTTTTCCTTTTTTCCTAAAATTTCAATTTTGCCGGATCTCAATTGGCTTACTCCATGTATTCAGCAGCCATATCGCTTCTCGTTGGAACATATTCAAGTTTGGGGCCAATTTCTTATCACAAACTCTTTGATTCATTCTTTTTAGAGGAATAAACCTCGCTTACAAACATATGACTTGGTCAGACTCTCAACATATGACTTGGTCATACTCTTCTCTAACAACTTACTCTTTCTTGTTACTTCCTGTATTGCAGGAACTATAATCATCTCTGTACATCTATTTATAATTCACTGATAAGAAAGGCCATTGACATCGCTAACCTTAAAAACAAGACATTGAGGAACTAATCAAATAATGTTTGTCAAAACTTATCCCCTAGGAACCCATGAGTGCACAAGATTTGAGTAAATGATGGTACATTGCAAAGTGAGTGAGTAAGAGCGAGGCTTTAGCTTTCAAAATATAAAGATTTCAAATGAGAGCTTGAACACCAATTCTCTGCATCTCTCTCAGCTTCCAAATCGGATAAATAGCTTCTTCTCCTAACTCTGCTGCATTGCCCAATCGTAGTACACCGTGTGTATTGTGTCCTAAATCCAACATACAACAACAACTTCTTAGGAGGACTTTTATAACTTGTTTTTGGGTGGTCTCAATTATGATTTTGATTCACAGTTTCATTTTACCTCGCTTCCTTCTTTGATTTCGCCATCCTTGTCGCCAATGCAGTGGATTTGTTGCGTTTAGAACTGACATCAAAGTTAGATAAATCCATTAGACCCAATATCTTAATAAGCTAAAGCATGACCTCATAAGAAGATAGAAGATCCTTACCCTGACGATGATTATTGGGGAATTTTCCATCATCTTTGTCTCTTGAACTTCAACTTCCGATATATACAGAAGCTGAGCATCACAGCCAATTCGATTTACTCGACAACGAAAACAAAGCCATTGGCTCAGGGACGATCATGTGGATGAACCAAGTACAAAAGCCTAACATTGTTATCGAAAAATACCCATGACTTTGGAAAGCTGCGCGCTCTACCGTGCACCGTTCAATCACTTCCTTGCTGCAATACTTCTTCAAGGTCTCAATATCTCCCTGCACAGAGATGGGAATTAAATTAGACGTAATGTAAACAAAGATGGGTCGAGATGATCCATTTCATAACCCGATATTCACCTTGCTAAATGCAGTCAAGACTGGTCTGATGGCTTCCTGAACTTCTACAGCAAAGTCCCGCAAGGAGAACCATGAAAGAGATAAAAGTACGATTACGGGGGAGCTGATAAGATGATACCTCTTCAAACCAACCAATCAGCCTCTATAACTTACGGAACTCGGCGGCATATTTCTTTGAAAGTTGATGCAGAATCTGTTTCCTGAAAATATCGTCTCATTCATGCTGCCAAAACAAAAAGGGTGCACATATATATCAGTTTGAGTAAGTAACTTGTTTTTTTTAAAGGAAGATAATAAGGGAGCAATTAGAGCATACTCCTGAATCTTGTGAACAATCGGATTATCACTGGTTTCCCATCTTTCGATCACATCTTCTGCAATCTATTTACAAGGTCCAAATGCATTGCCAATTTACAATTACAAATCAGCAAAGAGATTATTATTGCAAGATCAGATATTTGAACGAAACTGAGTAAAGATGAGAAGTTGTTAGTTACCTCTTGGCCCTTGCTGACAACAGGCTCACTCATCCCGCTTAGACATTTAAATACAGGATAACCTTGCATCTAAACCAAAGTTAAAAGAACACAAACTCAACAAGAGCCTTAAAAAAACATGGCATAAGCGGACAGGACAAAGAGGGTCACTTGAATATCCTTCATGTTTTGAAACGTATCGGTTACCTTTGGCGAAGAAAAGCTTAACTTGAATTGTCCAAATAATGTATGTTGCTCCTCAGTAGTGCCTGATTGCTGCTCCTGCTGTTTTTCTCCTTCAGAGGTTTCTGTGCCTGATGAACTTGCTGACTGTGCATTCTACTCTTTACCGAGCTTGAATGACTCCTTGACCTGACCACAAAAATGCATAACCAAATTATGAAAGAAAAGTCACAATTGAAAGAACTAAAAGCAAAGGGATTCCAGCAAAACCTCTTCTGTGGCTGCTGAGAACATTTTTTCACACTTGAAGAGACCTGTACCACCATAGCTGTTTGGTAAAGAACGATTCTATAGCCTTTTACAGTGTAGTAATGTACCAAGTCGGGTCTTCTTCGTACACATAAAAAGTGAGTTACATTTCACTAAAATAACATCCATCCGTGTATTATTCAGTTACCAAACTACAAACGATACATCATACATAGAGGTACAGCAAATGACTTCAGCAAGAGAACAACAAAAGCACATTCTTAACATACATAGACAAACAAAATATGCAATCTAGCAAGGAAGACAGAGCCTAGCGTAGGAAATCTTTGAACTTTCTTCAAAAGATCCTCAAAGTAATCATCAGCAAAAAAAACACAAATATAGTACCTTTTTGGCACAGATTCAGCCTCAGTCCATCCCCCATCAACTTGCTTGTACAGCTGCTCAGTCATTTCTTTTGTTCTGCATTTTCCATTTCATTCATAAGCTTCCTTTGAAATACAATGAATTATGTCTAAGTAAGTGCGATTACAAATGCAAATTACCTAACTTTCAGGTCCTCTTTTACACCTTAAAACTCTTCTGCCTTTTCCTTGATCTCCTTCCCTGTTCTTCGAAATTCGGGATTGCTACAACAACAACAACATGGACAAATGTAAAAAAAAAATTCAACTAAGTAGTGAGATAATCATCCACGGGGAGAGAATTACAAACATACAAAAACAATATGCATCAAAAAGAGAATACCTTTCAGCTTCTCCTCTAATTTTCTTGGAGAACTCGATCGCATACCCATTAGCCGGCATAAACCCTAATCTTGCACCCACTCTGTAACCAAAACACACAAAATTACCAAATCAATCAAACCAATTCACATCTCGTAATCACAAACACTAAAACACACAAATCACCACAAGGATCATCGCACGAACCCGTTGGTGCGTCAATTGTCGGAAAAGATCACAGAGTAAGCAACTGAAATTGTTAATATGTTAACAATTTGATTCACAGATTAAGATAAACAAATGCGCAAACTATATATGATCTTGATATGAACCCATCAAAGACTAGATGAAAGTTTGATTTTTCACTCCATGTTCATATCCCAAGATCTGATAGGCTAGCAATGTTCTTATCAAGATCAAAGATGATGCATATTCAGAAACCATATGATCAAGATTTGATCCACAGATTAAGCCAAACAAGCAAAGTTTCGGGGATTGAAATTGTTAAACTTAGGAGAGTAGCAACGAGTATGAATTTCCCATTACGGGGAAAGAAACAGAAACAGCGGGAGATTTATCATCAACCAAAGTCGTGAAACGAGTTCCTTCTTTAGCATGATTGTCCGAAACTACAGAGACATTGTCCGAAAACGAAATAAACCTCAAGAAGATAGTTTTGAAAAGCCAATTATTCTTAGACACAGCGGAGGCACTTTTCAAACTCTCATTGTCCTTCATGACACCGATGTGAGCAATTACAATCAAGAAGACAAGAATCTAATCCTCTATTGTGGCTACGAGCTAATGAAACGAAAAGGGAGATTTCAAGAGTTAAGTCCACCCATTCGTGAAGGCCATTAGTTCCTCATTGGACAATCTTGTTATAGACAATTCAGCAAAGAGTTCCAAATCAGAAATGACTCAAAGTTTCAAGCTTTAGCAAGTTATGAATCAAAAACAGCTCAAAAGTTTCAAGATTTACCTTTAGCAAGTTATGAAGACATTTCCACATGGGTTATTGGGGTTAATTAACACCATTGCAACAGTGTTCTCATCTGCAATGGATTCGATGCCTTCGAGATCAATCTCCCATTCTCTGTCGAGAAGAAGATCCAACTTACGGATCTCGAGACCACTGTAAATAGCACGAGCGTCGTAGTGAGGGGAATCAGGTCTTGGGAGCAAAATGTTTGCGTTTGGTCGAGCCAAAGATTCGAACACGATGTATTGCATCCAGCGGTCAGGAAAATGTCTTCCGGTGATAACTTGTTCGGAAGATCTCGGTTCAGATAATCGGCGACGAAACAAGGCAAAATCAAACACAATGTGGATCGATTTATAACATTACCAAACTTATGGGGTCTGTTAATTAGAATCCTAAGTAAGGGGTCTAAAAGATATACTCTACAGTCTGTTCACTACAAAATCAATATAC